GGTTGTTCTCACAGCGTCATCTTGAGTCCTCTCCCCTGTTTTTTTTTTTTTTTTTTTTTACAATTTTCTGCAAATCTTTCATCTCAAAATTAAAAGGTTTTTTGGGGGGGAGGTTATAACAATTTCCCAAGTGTGCCAATCAGTTGTCTATTGGCTCTTAACTCCATTAGCATCCCTTGCGTATGTCTTTGTATCACAGGATGGCTGGAAGCCTGCAAACCACATATCCTAGACTCTCTTTTCAGTTGATTTTAGGTTCTGCCAGTGGGAGTCACTCGCTGGTAGTCAATTGGAAGAAGATGAAAGTCACAGGCTTTTTCTTTTATTCTTGAGGCAGCAGTGTATCCCCGCAGCCTCAGTAGCCCAGTGATTGTGCGTCCTGGAAAACACCTTTCCTTTTCTTTCTCCAGGTTAGGTGGATGGTAGCACCCTGCAATTACTGATCTTTGGAAATCTCATTTCCCCTTTTAATCCTTCAGCCCTTCCAACATTTTTTAAAAATACTCTATTGAGATATAATTTACATACAATAAAGTTTGTCCATTATAAGTAACTCTGCAAAAATTTTGGCAAATTCATGTGACCATCACTATAACTTAGTTTTAGGATGTTTCATTGCTCCCTAAAAATTTCCTCATGTTCCTCATGTCTGTTTATGGTTAATTTCCACTGTCACCTCCAGCCCTCTGGAACTAATGTGCTGCCCTCTGAATCTTTGTACTTCTATTTTCTGAATATGTTATATAAATGGAATTTACAAAGTGTCGTCTTTTGTGTCTGGCCTCTATCACTTAGCTTAATGTTTTCGAAGTTCATCCATGTGTTAGCACATATCAGCAGTTTGTGCCTTTCAATTGTGGCACAGTATCCCACTGTAGGAAAATACTGTATTTTGTTTACCTCTTCATCAGTTGATGGGCCTTTGTGTTTCTAGTTTTTGGCTATTAGAAATAATTCACAGGTATGTCTGTATGTGGACATACATTTTCATTTCTTTGGGGTAAATTCCTAGGAATGGAATTGCTGTGTTGCATAGTAAACTTATGTGTAACGTTTTAAGACACTGCCAAACTATTTTCCAAAGTGGATCTACCATTTTTAAATTCTCACCAGCAATGCACAAGGGGTACAGTTTCTCTGCATCTTTGATAAGATCTGGTACTGTCTGTCTTTCTTATTATAGTTGACGAGCATCTGTGTAGTGGTATCCAGTGGTTTTAATTTGCATTTCACTGATGATTAGGTTGCTATTGAGTATCTTTTCATGGCTATTTGCTTATTAGCTATCTGTCTTCTTTCTTTGGTGAAATGTCTATTAAATTTTATGCTTGTTTTTAATTGGCTTGACTTCTTGTTGTTGAGTTGTATGAGTTCTTTATATATTTTGAATACAAGCCCCTTATCAGATATATGTCTGGTAAACCTTTATCACACCCTGTGGCTTTAAAAGAAAAATCTTTATGGTATCTTTTATAGTGCAAAAATTTTAGATTTTGATGAATTCTAATTTACTTATTTTTTGTTTTATAAATTGTACTTTCAGTGTTATATTTAAGAACTCCTTGCTTAACTCAAGGTGGGGAAGTTTTTCTCCTTTTCTTCCTAAAAGTTTTGTAATTCTAGCTTGTACATTTAGGTATATAATCCATTTTAGTGAATATTTGTGTAAAGGACAGAGTCTAAATTTTTTAAGTCAATATCCGGTTGTCCCAGGCTATTTGTTAAAATATTTTCCTTTCTATGTTAAATTGTCTTAACAACTTTGTTAAAAATCAATCCTTTCACCTCAGCCTCCCAAGTAGCTGGGACTACAGGCAAACATCACTGCGCCTGGCTCCACACTTTCATTTTGAAAGATACTTTTAAATTCTGGATATAGAATTCTTGGATAATTGTTGGTATTTTTCCCAGCACTTAATATTTTGTGCAACTACCTTCTGGCCTTATTTTTGAGGAGAAGTAGCTGTTAATGGTATTAAATGTCCCCTATACCTTTTGCTTTCAGTAATAAAAGAGTTATTGGCTTTCAACAATTTGACTATAATGTGTCTAGGTGTGGTTCCCCTACTTGAAGTTTGCTGAATTTCCTTTTTTTTTTTTTTTTTTTTTGAGATGGAGTCTCGCTCTGTTGCCCAGGCTGGAGTGCAATGGCACGATCTCGGCTCACTGCAAACTCCACCTTCTGGGTTCAAGCAATTCTCTGCCTCAGACTCCCGAGTAGCTGGGATACAGATGCCTGGCCACCATGCCAAGCTAATTTGTTGTATTTTTAGTAGAGACGGGATTTCACCATCTTGGCTAGGTTGATCTCAAATTCCTGACCTCGTGATCCACCTGCCTCGGCCTCCCAAAGTGCTGGGCATGAGACACTGTGCCTGGCGAAGTTTGCTGAATTTCTTGGATCTGTAGGTTAATGTTTTCATTATTTTGAGAAGTATTAAGCCATTGTTTATTCAAAAGTGTTTTTCTGCCCTTTCTTCCTCTCGCATCTCAAATGCCCATAAGTACAGGTACAGTAGATATCCAACATGTCTTCGAGGCAGTGTTCACTTTTCTGCAGTCTTTCCTCTCTTTGTTGTCTAAGACGGATAATCTCTCTTAATCTATCTTCAAGTTCACTGACTCATTCTTCTTCCATCTTAAATCTTCTGTTGAACTCCTCTAATGAATTCTTTACTTTGGTTATTGTACTCTTCAACAACACATTTTTATTTTTTATATACTTTTTAAAGCAAGGGTCTTGCTTTGTCATCCAGGCTGGAGTGTAGTGACACTATCATAGCTCACTGCCACCTCAAATTCTTGGGCTCAAGGGTTCATCCTGCCTCAGCCTCCTGAGTAACTGAAACCACAGGCATACACCATGACACCTGGCTAATTTTTTTTTTTTTTTTTTTTGGTAGAGATGGGAGTCTCATCATCTTGCCCAGGCTGGTCTTCAACTTCTATGCACAGCTTAGCGGTCAGTGAATTATTAGATAGTATCCAAATACCTCAAGCCAATAAGATTTGCATCCTCGGCTGATGCATTTGAGTATGGATAGGGGACCACATTAAAAATTTAGGCTGTTGGGGCCAGGCCTATAATCTCAGTACTTTGGGAAGTTAAGGCAAGTAGATTACTTGAGGCTAGGAGTTTGAGGCCAGCCTGGCCAACATGGTGAAACCCCATCTCCATGAAAGATACAAAAATTAGCCAGTCGTAGTGGCACACCCCTATAATCTGAGCTCCTCAGGATACTAAGGCAGGAGAATCACTTGAACCCAGAAGGTGGAGATTGCAGTGAGCTAAGATCCTGCCACTGCACTCCAGCCTGGGTGACAGAATGAGACGCCATCTTAAAAAAAAAAAATCAGACTGTTTTCAGGTCTTCCGTGTTCTGCTTTCTAATGCCATTTTTGAGTCTTCTATGCTTACACAAAGCCTTCGTGTCAGCTAGGAGTGTGTGAAGAGCTGGAGGATTCTCAGACTCTGCCATACATGTGCACAGCATCATACAGGAATATGCTTGCCCCAATCACAACCTCAACCGCAGAGTAGTAGAAATTTGACCTTGGCTCTCCCCACTCTCCTGCCTCTGGGAAATCAGTTTCACTCACTGATCCTGACTGTGGGTGTTATCCACTGCTCCTAACGGAGGGAGTTTCCTTCAGTGGCAGTTGAGAAGCTGCTGGTCCTCGTGGGCTGTCCTCCCTGGCAGAAACCCTATATTGATCTAGCTGGGAGTAGGGGGTGGCGGTATGACTGGAATAACTGAGACTTATCCCTCAGATCTCCACAAAGACTAGCAGGGGCTCAGGCATAAACACTTAAACACTTCTCAGATTGTTGTTTGCCTGTGGTCACTTTCCAACCTGCTGAAATGGTTTTTTGGTTTTTTTTGGCAACTTTGTCCATCTTTATAGTTGTTGTTTTTAGGGAAGATGATTTGATTACCTCCTCACTTGACCATAGCCAGAAGTTCTGCCTGAATCACTATCCCTCCTAACGCATTTGTAATTAATTCCTTGAATCAAATTTCCTCTCTTTCAAATACCTTGAATGGTGGTTTCTGATTCCCGACCAGACACAACTCAAACACTGTAATATTTAGAAATGTATTGCAAGTCAAGGAATGGATGATAATTGAACAGGAAATAATCCTCAGAGATTTGGCACCATTCATATGCCTCGATGTTCCTCACCCTCTCACTCACAAAAGACAAGAGTTTGGTATCATGTTGGTAGATTTGAATCCAGTCTCATTCTACTTATCAGCTCTGAAATTGTGGGCACAATTTTGAGCCTCCATGAGCTTTGGTTTCCTCAACTGTAAAGTTAATAATACTTATCTAATAATGTACATGCTAAATGGCCTAATCATTCCACAGTGTGTACATATATTAAAACACCATGTTGCATACCATGAATATATACAAGTTTTACCTGTGAATTTAAAAAGGAAATAGAAAATACTTACCTAATAAAATCATTCTGGGGAATAAATGAGATAATGTATGGAAAACGCTCGAGACACAATACATACCAAATATGTCTTTAAATCAATTTTTTCTCCAATTTAAGCACCTATTCCTTTTATTGTTCCAGAAGCCAGAATTATTGAAACAGTAGACTGAAAATTCACTCAGGAATCAAATTCTTATGAGATTTTGTGAGATAACATGTGAGATAACTGGAAAGAAAAAGCCAAATTAAAGGGCTCAGCAATTCATCATTTGGTTTCATTAGTTCCTGAGCCTAATTTCCTTTCAGTTTCTCACAAGAATTTTTGAAGACTCATGGTTGAACCTTATTTTTTATGCCTAAATTGATTAAAACTTCTAGCTTCTTTTACAGACTTTAGTCCAGTTCTCATTTCTGTGAATAAGCGGGACCTTCAGTACAGCAGAAAGAGCAGACCTCTCTTAGCTCCATGCATAAATTATGATGTCTGCTGTTAGCAATACTCTCTGTGACATCAGCAGCAGAGTCAGCTAACGGTTGCTGGGAGATGCCAGTCCAGAACTCTACTGTAGATGGACATAGATTCCTGTGACTTGGTAAACCATCTGGATTTCTTACATTTAGGGTGAATCTAATTATCTGTTTGTTCCTCTGGAGAATGAAAAGCATCTTCCCAACAAAGTAAGTAAAACCGTCCATGTTTTTCTCCTTGTTGATACTCTGTGGTTACTCTCTCATGACTGTCAATCAAAGGTGGATTATGGGATTTTTACAATTTATGCTCTGAATGTGGTGCTGTTGGCTGACCTCTAGATGTATTCAGAAACCGGAATAATCACATTCCTGTTTTCCCTGTGTGTTGAGCTCTTTGTTAACTGGGATCGCTTATTTTATAATACATTTAGGTGTCTTAATATGTTTCATTAACAGAGTTCATGCTAACAATATTGTGTGAGTTAGCCATTTAAAAATGAAAAGCAAGGGTTACTACAGTTAACAAAAACGATACTAGATACAACCACCTCTGTTATGGGATAATTAAGGTGTGTTAGGATCCGACATGTCCTCCTTCCATTTCTATAAGCACTTCACGTTGACCACTGTAGCTGTGCAGAAAGGAAGGTCCCAGAGAGATTGGGGGAGGAAGTGTGTGTGCAGGTGTGCCAGTTGGGCCTCCCAAACACAATTAAAATGGTTTAAGCAGAACTAAAAAGTGCGTGTTGAAGGACAAATGCTTGCCTGAATCTAGGGGCATAAGCAATGTCCTCAGGACTTGGTCTCGTTCTGTCTCTCACCACACTTTCCTCAGTGCTGGTTCTATCCGCAAGCAAGCCCCCATCACGGGGACAAAGTGGCTGCACCTCCAGGCACATAACCTGACTCTCAACAGATTTCTGGGGTTAATCCTAATTGGACAAGCTGAAGTTATCTGTTTTCCCTGAAGCAATCCATATAGCTGGGGGAAGGGTCTTAGCTCAGCTTCCCTGGAAGCAGAGCCTGAGACAGTGGTTTGGGGGCACATGATGTATTGAAGATGTGCGCTTCAGGAAAAACCTATAGGGGAAGGAGAGAAACAGGAGAGGGCAGGGGAAGGAGCTAAGCAAGGATGTGGTGTCAGGTCAAGTTGAACCTGGTCTGATCCGCAAGTTATAAGCATTGCAGACAAACTGCATCATAGTTGACCTCCCCTAGAGGTAAGGGGCTTACCTTTTATCATCTGTTTCATTCGGTCATTGGCTGTAATCTACACCTGGAGGAAAGATCACTCCCTGGGGAAAGTAGCTATATCACCTCAGGGCAATTCCCTGGAGAGGGGGCAGATAGACATGAGCTGTTAGCAGCCTATATTGCAGTAATAGGTGCATGGGCTGGTGAAGGGACCCGAGTAGGCACCGTGGCATCTACTACTTTAGCAGGACTCTTTCTATACCCCTGATAAAGCATGCTTTTTTTCGGGATCTAAGGCTTCTAGTCCCACAGAATCTGAAGTTGTGAGGAACAAAACACAAATTCCCCAAGTGGGACGGTGAGAAAAGCCATTCCCCTATCCACCATTTAGTCCCCATTTCAATGAAGTCTACCTTTCAGGAACACCGCATATCTAACGGCTGTTGGTTTAAGGAGTGTGTTGCATCTTGAAGAATAGCTTCCTATCCTCATAGGGTGTCATCTCCAGGTCAGCACCTCAACTGCATCTTTAAGAGGCCATTCCACTGCTGTGTCAGGCTGGAAACTTCTGGAGGATGCAGTACATGTTAGGAACAGTGGATCCTGTTGTCATGGCCCCATGGCTGCACCTCCTTTGTCATCACCCTTGTTTGAAGCTAGGTTTTGTGGGATCTCACATCGGTAAATGATTCCCACTGTGAGTTCTTACATAGTGGTGCTGGCTCTGGCTCTGCAGGCAGGAAAGCCAAACCCTTACCCAGAACTTGTATCAATTCCAGTTAGGATGAGTTGCTGCCCTTTCCAGAATAGAAAGGGTCCATTGTAATAAACTTGCCACCAAGTCATTGGCTGGTTGCCATAGGGGTAAGCACAGGTGGCTCAGCATCTGTCTCTGTTGCTGACAGGCTGGGCAATCAGACAGTCTCGGTGACAGGAGCCTGTGTTCTTGGGCCTCTGCACAGCCTCCATCTATGCCATCATGGCCACTTCCTTCCTGAGGCCATGGGTATAGTTCCCCAAATACAGTTCCTTGAGCACAGTTCCAATTGATCTGTGGATTTCTAAAGCTAAAGAAATGAGATATCTACCCATCTTCCACACCCAATGTATTAGTCTGTTCTCATGCTGCTAATAAAAGACATACCTGAGACTGGGTAATTAATTTATAAAGGAGAGAGGTTTTTAATTGACTCACAATTCCACATCGCTGGGGAGGCCTCACAATCGTGGTGGAAAGCAAGGGGGAGCAAAGCCACATCTTACATGATGATAGGCAAAGAGAGAATGAGAGCCAAATGAAAGAGGAAACCCCTTCAGATCTCATGTGACTTATTTGCCACCACAAGAACAGCATGGGGAAATTGCTCCCATGATTCAGTTGTCTCCCACTGGGTCCCTCCCACAACATTTGGGTATTATGGGAGCTACAATCCAAAGTAAGATTTGGGTGGGGACACAGCCAAACCATATCACCCAACATACAATGGTGGGACAGGCACAAGATAACCTCTACACACAGTCTTTTTCAAAAAAGGGGCAAATAGGAGGCACACAGGTGTTACTGGTCCATAGCGATTCTGAAATCCAGATTTTAAAACTCAGTCTTATTTCTGCTGAAAATAATTCTCCATGATTCTTGGCTCCATCCTCTGGACTCTATTTTTTCCCTCTGCATGATCCTTAAAAAAATAAAAAAGGAAAGGTAGGGCAGGCACGGTGGCTCATGCCTGTAATCCCAGCACTTTGGGAAGCTGAGGCAGATGGATCAACTGAGGTCAGTAGTTCAAGACCAGACTGACCAACATGGAAAAACTCCATCTCTACTAAAAATACAAAATCAGCTGGGCATGATGATACATGCCTGTAATCCCATCTACTCCAGAGGCTGAGGCAGGAGAGTCACTTGAACCTGGGAGGCAGAGGTTGCAGTGAGCGGAGATCGCGCCATTGCACTCCAGTCTGGGCAACAAGAGTGAAACTCCATCTCAAATAAATAAATAAATAAAAAGGAAAGGTAGCATCTGTTTTCTCAGCCTGCTTCCTGCTAGAATTTTGGAGGTTCAACAATCCCTTTTCATGTTGTGCTGGGTCTGCCTTTTCCACTACAAACTGACTGACACAGATTTCTCAGGAAATGTGTGGGTCTTTTCGTGTGCTTGCATAATGTGTTAACTACATTAGATGAAACACTACAAATCTCCCTAGATAAACCCTTCACTATCTTAGCTCCTGCTGAGAGGCTGAGGAACAATGCTCTTAAGCTCCCTGGAGATTTAATTGTTTGAGACAATCTGAAAGCAACACCCTTAATCTCTTTAAAGGGACCTTTGTGTGACTGAATATGACTGTGATCCTTTGGTCTTTCCAAGATTTTAACTTTAGGTTGTATATACATAGAATGCAGGGAGCAATTAGCATTCTCCACCATATAGTGGCTTTAAAGGCAATTTCCTCTTATTATTCTTTGATTTAGTGTCCTGGCAATTCTCAAGCATTTATTTTTCCATATAATTTTTGAAATCCTTTTAGCTAGCTCAAACACATTGTGTAAGAACTGCAGCAATATCCATATATTATTTATTTATGTATTTAGTTAGTTTTTGAGACAGAGTTTCACTTTGTTGCCCAGGCTGGAGTTCAGTAGCATGGTCTTGGTTCACTGTAACTTCTGCCTCCCAGGTTCAAGCAATTCTCATGCCTCAGCCTCCTACATAGCTGGGATTACAGGTGCCCGCCACCACGTCTGGCTGATTTTTTTTGTGGGGGGGTGGTATTTTAGTAGAGACGGGGTTTCACCATGTTTCCCAGGCTGGTCTCAAACTCCTGAGCTCAGGCAATCTGCCCATCTCGGCCTCTCAAAGTGCTAGGATTACAGGCATGAGCCGCCACTCCTGGCCTATCCATACATTATTAATATTGGAAGGATTTTTATTCCTGTGATAGTGAGTCTCCCCATTCAGATATGGTGTCTCTCAATTTACTTAGTTTTAATGTCCTCTATAAAATTTTATTCAAATTCAACTCAGGTATTTGATGTTATTTTTATTTCATGTTGAATTTAGTTGCTATTCAATGACATGATTTTCCATTTCCATTTCTTATTTTTGTTCATAGAGAAAATATATGCAATGATTTAACCAAATTTACTTATTAGTTTAAGTTCATTTTTCTTTTCCTTTTTTTTGGGAGGAAGGGAGGAAGGCAGGAAGGGAGGAAAGGAGGAAGGGAGGGAGGGAGGGAGGGAGAGAAGGGAAGGAAGGAAATCAGGAAGTGAGAGAGACATTGCTGACCTGGATCTAGAGGTCTACAAGTTGATTTCTTTTTTTTTTTATTTGAGAGAAGGAAAGAAAATAAAAGAGTGAAGGAGAGGAAGAAAGGAAGAAAAAGAGGGAGAGAGAATGGAAATGTTGCTTTATTCTAAAAAAAAAATGGGTATTAATAATGGCCAATCAACATTTCATTTAAACCTATGAGTAGGTGTGATGTGGTATTGACAAGAATGTATATTTTGTGTATTTGAAGTGGAGAGCTCTATAAATATTTATTAAGTTTACTTGTTCCGGATCTGAGTTCGAGTCCTTGATATTCTTATTAATTTTCTGTCTCATTGAGTCTACGTCTCTATGTATCTGGGTGTTAGGATCATTAACTCTTGTTGCATTGATCCTTTTACCACTGTAACTTTGTTGCTTTAAAATCTATTTTATCCAATACGAGAATTGCAACTCCTGCTTTTTATTTATTTATTTATTTATTTTTGCTCTCCATTTGGTTGGTAAATCTTTCTCCATCCCTTTGTTTTGAGTCTTTGTGTATCCTTGCATGTGAAATGGGTCTGGATGTAGCATACCGTTGGGTTTTGGCTGTATGTTTTGATTGGGGGATTTAGTCTATTTAAATTTAGGATTACTGCCATTTGATGTTAACTGGCTGTTTTATCCATTCATTGATGTAAATTCTTCTTTATGTTGATGCTCTTTACTTTTTGGTATATTTTTAGAAAGGCTAATACT